AAGAGCAGCTGAGCTCTAACTCTTTAGGGCCAACCCAATACCTGTGGAATGACATACAAATCAAGCTTTCCCAATTTGGGGCTCCTGCCTATCAAGTCTTTCACCACTTTCCCTTTACACTGAGCCCTGCCTTCACTATTCATTCTGTAAGTCTAAACTAGGGCAGCCTTTCTCCAAGGAAGCCTAACTGCCCATCCTAAATGGTCTTTTGAATCAGATACTTGCCTCTAGCATATATTCATTCATTCATTCATTCATTCATTCATTCAAGCTGAGCACCTGAACTAGGAATAGAGTAGAACAGGAAGACAATGTCCCTGTTTATGAAGTGTCTCTGCTATTGAGAAGGCATGATACTAGTAAATGTATAAATGTACAAGATCGCTTCAGATGGTGAAAAATGATCTGAGGGGGGAAAAGCAGGTGCTTTAACATGTAAAATGTGATAGGTAGCCCTAGCTGGTTTGGCTCAGTGGATAGAGCATTGGGAAACGAAGGGTCCCAGATTTGATTCTGGTCAGGGGCACATGCTTGGGTTACAGGCTCCATCCCCAGTGTGGGGCATGCAAGAAGCAGCCAATCAATGATTCTCTCTCGTCACTGATGTTTCTATCTCTCTCTCCCTCTCCCTTCCTCTCTGAAATCAATACATACACACACACACACACACACACACACACATATACATACATATATATACATACATATATATACATACACACACATATACACATATGTATACATATACACACAAATTTAAGTAATAGATATGTGAGGGGGGAAGTGATGGCAGGGGCTAATTTTACTTAGGCAGTCCAGGAAGACCTTCCTGTGGAGGGGACTTTAGGGCTGGTGCCTCAGGGGCATGCTAGGACCAGCAGTAAGATCTAAAGACAGAAGGCTCTAGGCAGAGGAAATGGCAAGTGCCAGGACATGAGGCAGGAGCGAGCTTAGGACGTCTGAGGAACAGGATGCCGGGTGGTGTGAAGGGAATGCAGTGAGAGGGCGGGTATGGGTGGGGCAGGGTGTTACAGGGCCAAGCAGAGACCAGATCACTGGAAGACCACAGCAACTACCTCTATTCTACATGCATTGGGGTTTCAAGCAAGACAGTAAATTAATTTATGTTTTAAAAGATTATTCTTGCTGTTTCCATACCATATGAAAAATATGTATTTATACATTCGTCCCTTTCACTGGACTATAAGTATGCCAGCAAGTGGTAGTAGGTGTTCACCATCTTGTCTGCAGAACTTAGTTGAATGCCTGGCCCGCATGATATTGCAATATAAGTGCTTGTTAAGTGAACATATGAATGAATTGCTAATTCCTTGAGAGTAGGGAAGCAAGATGAAAACTTTCCCCTGAGCCATTCTACTGGTCACGGTTGTCTTGTCTGTCTCTGTGCTTCCCTGTAGACTCTTTTCAGGACTTTACATAATTCATGAAAGCAGCTTGTGGAGTTTCAGACCATTGGGCAAGCACCAGACTATTACTCTGGAATTCTAACAGGCTGCCATGTTAAAAATATATGCTCATGTTGGCGAGAACCTATACATGAAGGGGTTACACGATATCTTACAAGTTGCTTTTTAGGACTATGGATTTTTCTTTTCTAAAATTTCTTTAATATGCCTGCATTACTTTTTACTTGGTAAAATACTAAAACCTTAATTTGAGTAAATGGAGCAAAGAAAGGTAAAACATCAAGTTGCTCAGAAAATGCACTGAAAAACTTTCCAGAAGTGAGCTTCTTCCTTGGAGCAGTCATACAGCTCTACTGGTGTAAATTAGGCGGATTAATGGCTGTGCAACGACAGGAAGGGTGAACAGAGGATACGACACCTGCTCCAATTATGTTTAATCACTCAACCAACTCCGCAGGCAGAACCGCACTGCAGCCTCCTTCCTCCTGCCTCTGCTTCTGAACACAAAACATACTTACAAGGACTTCAGTTTCAATTGCGGGCCCACTTTCTCGTGCATCTTGATCAAGCGGTTGTTACTGTAAATGAACATCCCAGCGTGGTTTCGGTTTTCTGTGTTCACTCCAAAGAATAGAGAGAGTGTCCTTGCTGTTTTTAATTCCCTAGCATTATATTTAGGAAAGTTAAAAATATTTTTATTAAGTAAAAATATACAGTTTACAAAAATGTGAATAAACTCAGAAGGGAACTATCGAAGGAGTTATATATAAGATATCCAGGTATTTTGCAAAACCAAGTGGGTACACTCAGCATCCCTGCATAGCCAAGTATTTGGCAAAAATATAACAGCCAATAACCATGGCAGTCAAACATAAGCATTCCGGGATTCAAAAATAAGTTTATAAGAACTAGAAAATGTTAACTGACCTAATTGCAGCACTTTTGAAAACTAATAATTTGACTCTTTTTAAATGCAGGTATTTATGACACTGGATGTGATTTCTAACTTCTCAAGCCTACAAGTATGCTACATAGGTCGGAACATTCCAAAAGAGATTCTTTACCTTTCCTTTTCCAAAATCAAAGATAAATTAAAGTTAATAAAGCAAGTGTAGGAAGATTATGAGCTCCTGTTTGTCTAACTCTGTCCTGCCATACCGTGTTTTACATGACTTTTCTATTAAAAGGGTAAGATGGAAATTGAGACAAAGCAGCATGTGGCAGAAACAACTGGCGTAACAGGAGGCTGTGTGGAGCTATGAAAAGTGCCTGGTTATAAGAACCAGAAAGATGGACTTGGCTTCAACTACAAAAATACAAGCCTGTCTTTCTAACAACCATGTAACTATGATGCATCACTTCAACTTCCTGTCTCATCTAAATTATGGAAGAAAACACCTCTCTAGCAACAATGAATGCTGTGAAGACTAAAGGAGATAATGTTAAATATAAACCTGGAACAGATTACATACTTAGCAAATGTTTTCTTTTCCCAAAAATGATTGCAAATATAATTCTTCCCCTCCACCCATCCTGTAGTTCCTTTCATTCCACAAAAACAGCTTTTTCTTTTCAAATTCATGCCCACCGGCTATTAAAACTGACATCAGATACTGACTGGACTAATTAAATGTATCTATCATTAAAGGACAATGATAAAGTTCTGTCAGTCTTTCCATGGGATGTGATATAAGTACATCAGACTTTCTGAGGAAGTTATTAATATGGGTTCATATTTATGTGTTTTTAAATACATGTACATGTAGGGTTAAATAGATGTGAATCAAACTTTCCCTCAAAAATGTCTACTCAATAATTACACTCCCACTATTTAACAAAAAAGAATACTATGTAAGGAACCCCAAAACAGGGTGTTACGGATATGACATAGTCACTCCGTGATATTAAGTGGCATACTGATTGCCTTCAAAGTTTTTTTTTAAAGCATTTTGCTATCAAAATTTCACACCAACTGGCTTTATAATTAATAAAATATAGGTTGGTTACATGTCCTGCATATCATTGTGACTTCAAACAAGCCATCAAACAGCTTTTTCTTCCTGAAGACTTTAAAGAGGCCTTTGCTTTTCAATGAAGATTTCTCTGACATTCACTTAACATTTATCTTAATAAATGCATAATTAACATTTCAAATTTAAGGTTTGGGGAAAGTGATGATTGTATAGCATTTCATGGTTCACAAAAAATAATTCTGAAAACTAGTAATATTTCCCTAAAAACTGTTTCTCAAAGTTAATGAGTTCTCAGTCTGACCTTCCTTGAAGAACAGCAACTATTTTCAGTTTAACTTGTGAAATATCTGAGTTAACCTTACCAATGTCAATAATGGTGTTGTAATATAGGCTTGCAATTTGTATCTTAACTACCTGATTATGTTGGTTGGGGGATTTGGATGCTTAATATCTATCATAAGATGCCACAGGCTAAGAAAGAGAAGTTGTCACACAAACCACCAAATCTGCCTACTCAGAAATCAAAATTTGTCTTTAATATAGCAACAAGGATTCTGGAAAACAGAAAATTAAATGTCTTACCTCCGTTTCTCTTTAAGAATCTTATGCTTTGCTTCCACATCTTCCAAAGCTTTCTGTAATACATCCTGGAGAAGTACATTTGGTTAGGAGAGAACATTATGCCATTAGATTGACGAAAGCTGATCTGATATTTATTATCCTATTATACAAATGTTTCACAAGGGTAACGGTGACAGGTCACATTGCCTAATGCAATATTACCATGGTAGATACTCAATAAATACTTGATAAATGACTAAGTTCTAATAGCTAAGGAGACAAGCTAAATCCCAGCCCGCAGTTCTCATCTTGCACTAATTCCGATGTCCTTTCTGCCTTTCAGAGAAAGGGCCACTGCTACCACAATAAATTCAATAAAAAAGAAAAAAATTGTCAGTAGCCAAAAGAAAATGTTTCCTTCATATAAAGTTCCCAATACGCCCTCAACTTTAGGATATCCCATCTAGGATTACTCCCTCTCAGAGTGCCTCAGTACCAGGCCCTTCTGTCTTTCTTCTCTTTTATTTGATATATTTGGCTCATACCATATCTCTAATACACTCCCTCTAACCAGACAGAAAAAAATGCATTATTATTTCACAAATAAGAATAGACTTTTAACATGCTCCATCCACCTGATGTGAAAAATGGACATCTTATTTGATGGGTATACTGCTGACTGAACATTATTTTCACTGACTTAAAAGTAAAAAAAAAAAAAAAGGTAAGTATTTCATTTTACTTCAAATTCAACCACTCAACTGCCGAGAGGAATTTCAGAGGTCAAATGCAGAGGTCATTCTGCTTTGCTCTCTTCTCTGCGTTAAAGAAACCAGTGTGCATCAGAGCAACAAAGTGAGCTGGTCAAAGACTACCCTGCTCTTCCTGTCCGTGCTCAGAGCACTGGGCAAAGAGGCAGTGAGAGTAACAGGTTAAGGCAACAAGAAAGCAAGGTCCTGACCCATTAGAAAGGCTGTTTCTCTTGCCTCTCAAATACATAAAACCAAGGAAATTTATTTCTTAGAAACAAAATAACAAAAGATTAAACTTTTAAGTTGATAGCAAGATAGGTCTAGCTTTAACTAAAAAAAAAAATAAGTGGGGGAGGGGGGAGTAATAGAAATTTGGGGAAACCATGGATAGCTTTGGGCAATGACTAGGTGCCACTCTTTGATTTAATTCCCAATCATGGCCATTAGACATGAGAACTCTTCATCAGATACAGCCCTGGTCTTTACATGTTTTAGGGCAAATCTTGGAAAGAAATCATACAATGAGTCCATAGAAGAGAATGAAGGAAAGATGAAGTAAAACCTTTTTCTCCAAAAACCTATTTATCCCTTTGTATGCAAGCAAATATGTAGTGTAATGATTCACCATGCTAGAAAGCTTTGTATATTTTTGGTAAAAGTTGGAAAACTTAAATTCATGTCTTGCAGCAATATTCTTCGTCTCTTAGTTGCCATGCATTATAATTAATAACAATAGTTCTTTATAACCTATCTCACTCGTGGGTATTCTGCAAGAATTACAGAGGATGTTTATGAACTGTGTGGAACACCTCATACAAAAAGAGCTCTGTGAGCTGGAAGCATTGTTATTAATATTCATAATTACAGCACATAATTCCCAACTCTAGAAAGAAGGATTGTGTATTAGTCTTCTCCCTGTTCTGCCCGTTTATTTAGGTCCACAGGGAGCTATGATTTGAAAAGATATTTTCAAGAAGACTTGATAAGCTAGCTTTCGACTGCTTTTCATTATTTTCTCTTATTCCTTTTCTTTTCATTTTAAAGAAATAAGTTGTGACTCTCTTCCCGACTGTCCTGAATTCACCCCACGTTTTGTTCATCTTTGCTCTGTCTCAGCCTTCCCTCACTTGCCGAGTTTTGTCTCCTTTCTCTGTATTCATCTATTCTGTTTCCCTGTGTTCCTATTAACTTAGCCACCTGAGCTTATCTGCATTTAAAAATTTAGGGAGTACATGACAAGAGACAACTGTGTACAGGAAAAGGCAAAGGGCACTGTTTGCCATTTAAGAAGATTGCTCTGTGTGTCATACCTTGGCGGGAGAAGACAAGGAAGTTCTATCAGGCTGGTTGACTCTAATTCGAGCATCTTTCAACACAAGTTCAGCTAGAAGCAGAAGCAAGATAATTATATCATGAAATTCTTTCAAGCAATTTTCAGTGAGCATTCTATATACTTACATAGATATATATAACCATGACCAGGGAGAGAAGATTACAAATAATCACCTCAGAAAATCCTATACTCCTTCCACAGCTCTTACACATTCTAAGTGTAGGTAGCATACTTCCTCTTAGATGTGGCAATTTAAGGGGAAAAAACACATACATACAAATTCAAAAGTCACAATTGGCTGTTTGGCTAACTGAAAACTATCTAAAATCATTAAAATATGGACGTAAAGTTACTCCTCCCTCAGGCATCACTGGGAAACAATGGTTCCCTCCTCACTGTGAGAGAAGCGAATGTGTAGAACTTTCCTTCCTAAAGTGGACGCAGCACTAATCTCTGAAACGATCTAACTCAGCATCAGTGAAAACAAGAGTTCCTAAAATAGACCCATCCAGTTCCACTTGGATCATACTAAAAATAATAAATACCAATAATTTAACAGAGATGGAAAAAATATGTATATAATTCCTTAGAGGAAGCAACTACATTTGATTAATTGTGGCTATCCCTACAATGCCTAGAGCAGTATGTACCCTAGAATATATGCACAATTAATGTTTGTAGAATGAATGAACAATAATAAGGTAAGCCATAGGTAATTAATTACATACCAATCTTTACTGCTTCTTCTGCCTTTTTAACCTCATTTTTAAATGCTCCTTTAAAAGAAGATGTAATATACAGATACTTTCTGAAAAATAAAATAAAAAAATAAAAGAATCAAGTCAGATTATCATTTTATAGTACAAAATATTCTTTAAGAACACTATCCTAGTATACTCCAGATATACATAATTATTAAGAAAAACTCATAAAGTTGCATCCAGCTGATAAATAAGAAAACTTTATACCTAAAAAAAAAAAAATCCTTACCATTTAATACTTGAAAATTTTGCTTTCTTAATGAATTTATTAGGGTGAGTTAGTTAATAAAATTATACAGGTTTTGTTGTATAAGGCAATAACATATCATCTGTATATTGTATTGTGTGTTCACCACCCCAGGTCAAGTCTCCTTCCATCACCATTTATCCTCCCTAAATCCTCTTCTACCTCCCTCCTCCCCATTTCCTTATGATAATCACCATACTGTTGT